AAATAGATAAGTAAAAGAGGCCGAAAGGCAAAGCTTTGAATTGGAATCATAATTACGGAATGAGTAGACAAAAGGTAGTGCAATCGAAGAATTCTAATAAAGACTGTAGTTAACTGGCCCGAGAACCCAGTTATTGTGTTGTGCATTCTTTTAGACAATAAATTCAAATAAAAATAAATGGGGAATGTGTCCATGGGACACAGATGATGCCCCCGCTTGCATATCATATAAAGTTATAAAGGGACATAACCGGAGAACGGTAAAAGTGACGCTACCAAAATTTGTACTTGATCTGAGTTTTGTGGTAATAGGTATTGTGTATAAGTTTCATAACATTTGGTTGAGGCAAACTTAAGTTAAAGAACGGAAACGAAAATTTCAGCAATTTTTCCATTTTTAAAGGGGCATAACTCTAGAACAGTAAACGTGACACCACCAAAATTCAAACTTGATCTGTATTTTGTGGTAATAAGCATTGTGTATAAGTTTCATAACATTTGATAGAGGCTAATATAAGTAAGAGAACGGAAACGAAAAATTCAGCAATTTGTCCATTTGTAAAGGGGCATAACTCTAGAACGGTTAAAGTGACACCACCAAAATTCAAACTCAATCTGTGTTTTGTGGTAATAAGTATTGTGTAAAACCCACTACTGAGTATATGTCAACAGAAAACAAAAATCTGATATCAAGTATATATCAATAGAAAAAGAAAACCTGTTTCTGAGAATGTCAATAGAAGAGGAAAACTCACTACTGAGTGTATGTATATAGAATAGGAAAACTTGCTACCCAGTATATATGTCTATAGAAAAGGAACATCCAGTGCTGAGTATATGTCAATAGAAAAGGAAAACCTGCTTCCCAGTATATTTGAATAGGAAAATTTTTTCCATTTGTAAAGGGGCATAACTCTAGAACCGTTGAAGTGACGCCACCAAAATTCATACTTGATCTGTGTTTTGTGGTAATAAGCATTGTGTATAAGTTTCATAACATTTAGTTGAGGCAAACTAAAGTTAGAGAACAGAAACCAACTTTAGGACGTACGTACGTACTGACGGACAAGGGTAAAACTTAATGCCCCTCTGCTCTGGATGAACAAATTGTGTAAAATTGTCTTTAAAGGGCAATAACTCCTGAAGGGGTCAATTGACAATTTTGGTCATATTAACTTTTTTGTAGATCTTACTTTGCTGAACATTTTTGCTGTTTACGGTTTACCCTTATCTTTAATAATATTTCAGATAATAACCAATAAATTGCTTCGCTGAGCGCAGCTGGATACGACCACAGATGTCCAAACCCTGAAAAGTTGGGGCCAAAATGGACACAATATTCACGCTTGATACAGGTTTGAATTTGGATTGTAATTAAATATTTGACACATATGACATAATAGGTTTCTGCCACAGAATAACTGTAGTCAAAGAACTTAAAAATTGGTTATATGATTTGAATTTATATAAAAAATTTTGCTTTTGTGCAATACACTATGCTGTTGAATATTAACCCCCAAAAAATAATATCTGAAAAAATAGTCTGAAGCTGAAGTACTCGGTAGCATTGTTTGCCATCATGTGTAGTTGACCATACTTTATTGTGATTTTGTGGACTTGACCATACTGTATTGTGATTTTGTGAAGTTGACCATACTGTATTGTGATTTTGTGAAGTTGACCATACTGTATTGTGATTTTGTGAAGTTGACCATACTGTGTTATGATTTTGATTTCATGATTTTACAGGAGTTATAGTATTTTGAAGAGTATTATTCTATTGTACCACAATAACACATTGCAAACACAACTCCTCTAAGACTGTTAGACAGAAAGCTTTAATACTTTGTAGGTTTGTTTGTCGTCATGGTATTTGACTATATTGTACTGTCAACTGGATATTAAATTTTTTCTGGATTTTGACTATCCTGGGACTATTACAACTAACGAGTAACTCACACCTTACGATTGTATAACACAATACACAGCAGCACAGGACATTACACTATGGCCTAGCAATCTTGTTATACTCTAGTATGATACCTATTCATATTTCTTTTTTATAATTCAATCCTTTAAGCCAAGGCTTCCAAAATAGTCATATATTCCGGACATTTGTATAATGTCCTGTAAAAGTCCGGCTGGGCAAAGCATGAAACGGTCATCTACTTTTTAGTTTTCAAGGCTTTCTTAAGAGACGGTCATTTTAACATAATTCGCGATCTTTTTGACCCAACCTTTTGCCTTTAACAGCCACACATTTCCGGTCATAAAAGTGACATGATCATTAAGTACTATCAAAACAACCCCTACTTTAATACCTTCTCATTTTAATCAAGGCTAATTAGTTGTCTATTAGGTGTAATACCACCATTGATTTTCCCCTATTAGTCTTTGTTAAATTTGCACTTTTCAAAAAATTGTGCAGAATTTATCTTTGTTTCAAATAAAGAAATACTTGGCATGAGTAAAGTTTTATCCTGTCCAGTACTATAGAAAAAATTTCACATAACATTTCATTGCATATAAGAAAATAACCATCACTGGAAGTTAACCAATCAAATTTTCCCCCTTTTTTAACCTGTGTACAAGCTTTAGTAACCATGTAACCTCAAGTTTCCAAAATATTCTATAGAAACCCCAAATAAAGAAATAATGGTGCTTTGAAATACCCAAGATATATGTTTATGACTCAGAAATGTTTTACTGCAATGAAATGTAGGATCAATTACCTACAACTGTCAAATTCAAGGGAATATTTTTTTTCGACCTATTTTCGTATGCAACCGGATGTGAAGCACTATGATTTGGTGGTATTACACCTAAAGAAGACTTTTTTGTTGAATAAACTGAATGTGACTTTTTTCCTTTGTAATACTGGTTATTTCAAGCATTCCTGTCAAGTTTTGTCATAATCAGTTCAATAGTTTGAGAAAAATGTAGTATAATGTATGACAACATCTACAGCGATTCGAGCAAAATTTCTTCGAAAAATTCAAACCAAGCCGCATCATGATAGAATATAATGTGGACCAATAAATGATCAAATATTTATCTCATCTGCCTACAAACAGTTGAATATGATACAAAAGATGACTTCTGGATGATAAATACTACTAATGGACCTCTTATTCTTCCTTATAAAGTCTCTTTTGGTCCATTTATACCTCTCATTTCCTCAAAATTTCTACTTTTTAGGCCAATAAATAAAAATTTTGGGGTAACTTTCACTCATTTATGATAGGAATGTTATTATAAATGATTAATTGAAGTATTCAAGCTGCTTGAACTATCCGTATAAAAGTTTACTGTCTCCAAGGAGGTTTCAATAAGTCCTTGCGTAAAACTTAAATTTACGCCGCGTTCCAGAGAGGGACATAAAAAACTTCTCTTTTGGTGAATAATTTGTTGTTACTGCTTTAAAAATAATTTCATTTACTTAAAACTATATATTTATTAAAGTATTTCTTAGGAAAATTTTTCTAGTATAGCAGAATACAAGAAATAAGGAGAAAAAGCTCCCCAAGACTCTAAGTATGGCTTGTTCTGTCAACTAATATTCATGGTAAAGTCCTATTTCAAGGAAATTTTCTCATAAAATGTATTTTGGAGACTCATTGTCCACTCAGAATATTTCATTATTTGTAATATTTCAATTAAATAGCAAGAAATTTTAACATATTAGAGTACTCACAAGGTCAAAGGTGCATGTACAGCTTCCCATATTAGGTGTAATACCACCATTGATTTTCCCCTATTAGTCTTTGTTAAATTTGCACTTTTCAAAAAATTGTGCAGAATTTATCTTTGTTTCAAATAAAGAAATACTTGGCATGAGTAAAGTTTTATCCTGTCCAGTACTATAGAAAAAATTTCACATAACATTTCATTGCATATAAGAAAATAACCATCACTGGAAGTTAACCAATCAAATTTTCCCCCTTTTTTAACCTGTGTACAAGCTTTAGTAACCATGTAACCTCAAGTTTCCAAAATATTCTATAGAAACCCCAAATAAAGAAATAATGGTGCTTTGAAATACCCAAGATATATGTTTATGACTCAGAAATGTTTTACTGCAATGAAATGTAGGATCAATTACCTACAACTGTCAAATTCAAGGGAATATTTTTTTTCGACCTATTTTCGTATGCAACCGGATGTGAAGCACTATGATTTGGTGGTATTACACCTAACAGCTGAAATTTACCTGTTCAGGTGACAGGTAAACTATTTTGAACCGGACATTGATCGGTCTATTCAAAGTTATTTTCTTACATTTCAGCGGTTTGCATCTAATTAATTTAGTCAAAAAGATTATCAGAAATACGTTTACAAATATGATTAATTATTTGATGAAAAAAAAGGTGAAAAATAAAAATCGTCATAACCACGTTGTTTGAACCAGAGACATGTCTCTGTTTGAACTAGTACACGTGTGCGCATGTGCGCAGGTGTGAAATTTAATTATGCATCCTAATTTCTTCAAAAAATGCTTAAATTGTCATTGATACCTTTATCCCACGTTTATTTCGAATATTTTCTTGAAGAAATAACGTAGAAAGAGCTACGTACACTCATTCATGCTTTGCAAATGTACACAGAATTTACGTATCCGTCTCTGGTCCATGTTTTACCATTGTCAAGATAACATCTGGTATAAGATTTTAACGAATGTAAAGTTTTTGACAACGTTATTTTGCACAAATAAAGAGTCTAAGGCAGATATAAGTACGCTGATGTTGCACACTTCAAATGATGCACTGCCAATTTAACAGTTTGCGTCAGAACTTCGAATTTGAATGAAAGAAAGTTTAATATCGTTTTTTTTTAATGTCAATCATTGGGATGGCCAACTCAGCAACTAAATACCATAATTGCCTTTTGTTTATTTAGTCTTAAGGGATTAAAATAGGGATAATATATGAAATGTCCGGCTGGCTAAAAATAATTTTGGAAGCCCTGCTTTAAGCGTAGGTAAATAAAACAAAAAACAAACTGTCACTTTTCAATAGTTTAATTTTTAATCAGCTTTTCAAAATTTGAGCACCATTATATCATCATCTTTATCATCACGGTCTATACCTGTTATAACCAGGATTTATGTATCACATCTTTTTTTCCTGGTGTCACCAGGAGTTTTATATCACATCTTTGATGTTTTGTGTTTGTGAATTAAAACTTTGTTCCTTGTAGGAATATCATACTTCTGATTATCAATTTACACACTATGATCATGTCAGGTTGATATCCATTTTCAGATGCTGTATAGTTGATGGGTCAGGTATATTGATACCACAGAGTGGACAACAGTAACCAGGATCTGCCTTGTAGTTACTCTGAAATTCAAAAATAAATCTTTCATTCTAAAAATAAGTCTTGTACAGACAGGCTCTTAAAAACTGGAGTTACGATATTTTCCTACTTCTATGAAACAATAATTTTAGTATCAAATCAAACGACTGTAGCAGTCCTGTTAAAGCAAAACAAATCAGAGACATGTTAAAAGTGAATGTAAAATTACTTAAAACAAAACATTGGTGATGTATGAATACTAGAGGCTTCTATGAGCCTGATTTTCTCACCTGTCAATTTTACCCTTTAATTGTTTAATTGAACTTTTAAAGAATTGGCTGTTTTTTACACAATTCAAATTTTAAAATAACATTGCACACATTATCTTACCAAGTTTCATTCACATTGGACGCACAGTTCAGATAAGAAGTGAAAAATGTGATTTCTTTTTAGTTTTTAACGGAAACTTGTGTGTGACCATTGTCATACAATATTGTTAAAATATTATTGATACATCTTATTTTATAATCTTACTTTTTTTTCTAAACCAATGAAATATTTTATTTTGACTTTTAATAAACTGTGAATATTATTGTCGTCCAAAATGGTTATGGCAATTACTATATTGTTTTGGTAATTTGATTTTAAAAGATTAACCTAATTAGGGCTTAATATGGTTGATAATGCCAAATGTAATGTACTACCTGTATGCAATAGTAACAGAAGACATGTGCACATCCAATTTCCTGTGGATTTGTTGGCCACTCCCCACAGATTCCACATTCTGTCAAATTTCTCTTTGAGGTAGATTGACTAGACATGTCTTTTGGAAGAAACTTCCGTGACAAGTAATTCTTTACACGTTGAAAATTGACCAATGGAAGAACAAAGAACAGTAATTCCTGAAATATGTAAATTACACTTAAGCACAATACAAATGTTCTGATTTATGAACTCAATGGAATTTAAGAAGCCAATTATAAGTTACTTTGTTTCTTTGGTTTCTTTTGAAAATTCTTTATTATTTGTGGGATAACAATTATTGTGGATTTATAGTATAGCTAAACCTTGAATTTAAATGTTCAAAGAAGTACATATTTTTATAGGCTTGAATGAAGACTTTGGGAAAACCAGGAAAGCAAATACACATGAAAATATAATTTTTCCTCAATCTCCACAAATATAAAATTGAGAATGGAAATGGGGAACATGTCAAAGAGACAACAACCCGACCAAAGAGCAGACAATAGCCGAAGGCCACCAATGAATCCACAGTATAGAAAGTATTTAATATAAAATATTCGCTTTGATATAACACCATAAACTAGTCAAAAGGACAACCACCTAAGATTATTTGCCAACTGGCTAAAACTGATCTTAAAAACTGTCTTTAAAGACCATATGAAGCAGTAAATGTTTGGTAATACTTACAGAAAATCCATGCCATAATAATTCTCTTGTCATGAATTCAAAGCTAACCTGGAAATAAACAAAACATCCTCTATAATAAATTAGAGGCTCTAAAGAGCTTGTATGGCTAACACCGTAACACGAAACACTACCATTAAAACCCATATTTACAATGTTAACTTAATTTGTCTTTATTTCAGATGTACAGGAGCCATTAAGTTAGACACAGGAAACTTTGGTTGATTTTGTCATTTTCAATTTTCTTATTTTCATAATAATTGTGGATTACCTCCCTTTCCTTATAAGCTTTCCTGTATAAAAACCCTAGCCAACATTTGAAAATAATTTAGGCTTACTAATTCAAAATAAAGTTGAATAATAATACATAATTTGAAGAATTAGAATAACAATATTTACTTGTCTAATGCCTTGTTTATCTGGAAACACTGGTTGTATACCCAGTACTCTCTCAACCAAAGAATGGTAAAAACCTTTTTGTAGGAACACCAAGAAATTGACCATTGCAGCAATCTTCAAACTAATGTCAGTCCATTCTATTAACTTCTCTATCTAAAATATTCAAATACATGTATTGTACATATTTAAACTTACTGTGATTTTCTCTATTAGAAATAAATGAGGAATGTGTCCATGGGACACAGATGATGCCCCCGCTTGCATATAGCGTTATAAAGGGACATAACTCAAGAACTGTAAAAGTGACCCTACCCAAATTTGTACTTGATCTGAGTTTTGTGGTAATAAGCATAGTTTATAAGTTTCATAACATTTAGTTGAGGCAAACTTGTTAGAGAACGGAAACGAAAAATTCAGCAATTTTTCCATTTGTAAAGGGGCATAACTCTAGAACCGTGAAAGTGACGCCACCAAAATTCAAACTTGATCTGTATTTTGTGGTAATAAGCACTTTGATAAGTTTCATAGCATTTGGTTGAGGCAAACTAAAGTTAGAGAACGGAAACGAAAAGTTCAGCAATTTTTCCATTTGTAAAGGGGCATTACTCTAGAACGGTAAAAGTGACGCCACCAAAATTCAATCTTGATCTGTGTTTTGTGGTAATAAGCATTGTGTATAAGTTTCATAACATTTGGTTGAGGCAAACTAAAGTAAGAGAACGGAAACCAATTTTCGTACGTACAGACGGACAAGGGTTAAACTTAATTCCCCCTCCGCTACGGCGGGGGCATAAAAAGACCTCTTTTTCATAACTAAATTAAGAGTCAAGCTTTTTTTTTTTTTTTACAGGCATAAACCATACCTATCTCTCCAACACTGAAGACCTGTGCTCCATTAGTTAAAGATAATGATTGCAATGAATATTTTTTTTCATAAGACTGATTAAAATTAGGGTTAAAAAAGGGTTAAATAGATAAAAGAAGATGTGGTATGAGTGCCAATGAGACAACTCTCCATCCAAGTCAAAATTTATAAATGCACTTTATGACTACAAGGTTAAAAATTAATGGGGCTCCGTGTAATAATTTAGTGTGAATCTACATGCTTATGGCCCAAAAATGAAGCATGACCCTATGTTTTGATTGAGGCAAAAGATGGGACTACATTTGCTTAAGAATTGAATGCTTCTTTCTGTAACTTCATTGGGGTGTAAAAGCGTTGATCGAAGTACATTTTGTATGAAGTGCGGAAGCGCTTCATTCTAAAAATGTGCGCACGGTCAACGCTTTTACAACCCTATGAAGTTACAAAAAGAAGTATTCAATACTTATAGTTACATTTTTTAGCTAGATCATGAAAACACGATTTTTATCAAGTTTTTATTTAATTTACCTGTGCACTTTATTGTTGGACCTCGTGTCATCATGAATGATAAATTTTATTGTGTAATGAAGTTAAGGAATAATGCGAGATTGCAGTGTAGCCAATCAATATAACGTATTATAATGAAACATACATCTAATGTAATTATTCTTAAATGAATTATAAATGAAAGCTTCTGATTTCTAAAAGTTAATTTTATTCACGAAAATATGTTTGCATTGAAGTCAATGGGAGATTTTTACTGAATTTACCCCTATATAGATAAGCAAGTCATTTTTTATCTAGATAAATTTACCTTTGACCTTATTTCCATTAGACCAATGACTTTCAGAACATCACTCAGTCTTTCCTTTAACCATGGCAACCCAATCAAAATGGCAGCATATAAAATTTGTTGTCGTCGTGTCATCCATGTTTCTCCTTTGTTGCTAACGTACTTAAGGTTAAGAATATTCTGTCCTATAGTTGAGTTGTGGACCAAAACAGAAAACTGAAATATGAAATACAAAATTAGGTCTAAATTTGTAAATATCATGCCATCTAATAATGCAATATGTCAGCATACTTTTTATTTATTTTCCTTGTATGAATACTTCAAGATGAATCAAATATATCATCATATATTAATTACTCAGAAAAATATATATATGTAATGTAAAGTGATTCTATTTTTAAAGGTGGTATATATATGGAGGTAAAGGAAAGTTTAGTCTCCTTGCATACATGTTGGAAACTTTGTGATCTACTCTGGAAATTCAACACAGATGTGTTACCACACTGTAAAATACTCTAAAACATGGATTGATCATTCTAAAGAAACTTTGTTTACTTTCTTTAGAGAGCAGCAGCTTGTTGGGAATCATACCAGTCTAGAAAATTAGGTTTGCTTTCATTAAACCATCCAATCCCATTCATTATTCCACAAATTGTTTTTCTGTGCTTCTGAGTTTTCTACAGACTGATTTCTTCCCCAATCAAGCACAACTCAAATGATCAGTCTAGTTTTTATGCAAAAGAAATACTTGGATATCTTGCTTCAATGTCATCAGGCACAAAGGAGGTCTCTCATAGACATCATAATTACAACAGAGCCCCTTTTATATATATCCTACTTTATTATTTAAAACACTTTGAAAGAAATATTTATGATTCCTTTACAGTAATTAACAAATGCACACATGCAAAGGTTTACTTGCTATAAACCACAGGCATACTAAGAAGAATGAAAAGGATCATTATCGTACTTGTGAAAAACAAGACTAGCTTTTATTTTTATATGACTCATAAAAATAATTTTGCCAAAAAAAAAAGTATATTTCAAATGACTCACTGCATATTCATAAGTATCAACTTACTGCTAGCTAATTCAACCACACATAATTAAAAAGAGGATCTTAAATATAAGAATGAAAACAAAACATCAGTGTGCGTTTATTAGATTGCATTAAACAGCCTAGGATAATTCAACTACCATTTTCACACAATAAAAAAATCACACACAATCCATTATGAACGTAGTTTTATATCCTGAATATGCAAAAAATTTTCCTTGTCAATTAATATTAATATTTTAACTCTCTTTTTATCTTAATATTTTGAGTGTTTTCACACTAATGATTTTTTTTATTTCAGATAAAAGTTAAACTAAAAAGATGTATTCAGCTGTTAATCATTCCAATATTTTCAGGAAGAGAATATGTTTAACTATGAAATACTGCTTTGGACTAAATTCCACTTACAACCAAAGAATTAATTGTGTACCGTATGACTTTGACAAGTTTTTTGTAACATTACCAGTAAGTTAGTTCACAGGGAAAACCTCAACTAGACCCATTACTATGATACTATGCAAGCAGACTGAGCATAATCAGAGAAGCAGTAAACATAAGTTTTCTCTTAAAATTCTGCATGCTCCATAGAGAAGCACCAAATCACAATGTTATACCAAATGCTGCAATGTGCTTAGAAGATAAAGGGCAAATAACAAGTTTCTCGAAAATGCTGCATGCTTAGAAGAGAAACAGCAAATTCAAGTTTTGCAAGCTAATAAGAGAAGCAGTTATTAACAAGTTTATTAAGTGTTTGTTTTTACTGAGCAGTGTTTCTAAGACCTTCAAAACTAGAAACATTCACACTACAAAAGGGCCATTTAAATTTTCAAGCTGTATCTATGTATCAATGCTACTTTATTTACAAAATAATTCTATTCTTTTCAAATTAATACTGTAGTTTAAAATGATCATATGACAGAAAAAGTAACTTCAATTGATTATAAAAAGAGTTGAACAAAATCTAAAGAAAACTGTGACTTATTCAAATTACCAAAGTTGTATGCATGTAACCAATATGCATAGATCTCTATTGTAAGGAATTTCACTTATGTTGAAAAGCTGAGTTAACTTCTCAATTAAAAGAGCATAAGAAATAAAATTTGAGAATTACAAATAAGTAAATTAGTGCCAATACAAGTAGCTTATGTACATTAACCAAAATGCAAGAAAAATAATTTGATTCACATGAGGCCTCTTATACCTATATGTTTAAAGTTTTTTCTGAAACTGAAACTATCATTCCTTCAAAAGTAACCATATATACAGAGCACATTACATAAAGAAACAAGAATGTGTCCATAGTACACGGATGCCCCACTCGCACTATCATTTTCTATGTTTAGTGGGCCATGAAATTGGGGTCAAAACTCTAATTTGGCATTAAAATTTGAAAGATCATATTATAGGGAACATGTGTACTTAGTTTCAAGTTGATTGGACTTCAACTTAATCATAAACTACCTTGACCAAAAACTTTAACCTGAAGCGGGACAGTCGGACGGACAAACGAATGAACGGACGCACAGACCGAAAAACATAATGCCCATAAATGGGGCATAAAAAATCAACCAAAAGTATTGTGCAAAAACTACAAAATGAACTTGTACCAAAAGAAATATGGTACTGCTACTAGAAAATGAAACATAAACTTGAAATTGCAGTAGTAAAACACTTGTGAAACTATCTATCACAGTAATAGAAGTAGTAAAGGAATACTTTTGAAGCAAAATTATCTTTCAGCTTGGTTTCAGGCATCGCTGGTGTGACAGGGTTAATAAATTAAAGTTCTTTCATGGATGATTATTTATGCCATGTATGTTTATGCATGCAAAATATCACTTTATTAATGAAATTAAATTAATCATAAACAAATCATATGGTTGAGTTGAAATAATGAATAAAATGCTTCGCTGGGGCGCAGCTTGATACGACCGCAGAGGTCGAACCCTGAACAGTTGGGGCAAGTATGGACACAAAATTCAAGCTTGATACATCTATGACTTTGGATTGTCATTAAATATTTGACACAGCATAGGTTTCTGACACAGGATGAATGTGGTGTAAGAACTGGAAAAAATTTAATTTACCTATTATGGTGGAATATCCATAAACTAAATTGTTTGTTAATTTCAATATATCAAAGAATATGTAGAATTCAATGTTTGATGTAATGTAATAAAGTTGAAATTTGGACCGTTTTTGTTCAATGTGGACCAATTTGGTAACATGTATAAATAATCAAAAATCTAAATACATGGGAGCCCATTTAAATACATCATAAAGGTATTAAAATAGAAAGTGACATCATAGTCATGGCTAAAAATAAACAAAAATCCTTAATCAGCAACATTTAAAGTAATATCTAAAAATAAAATTCCTTTGTAACCATAAAAGCCCATTTAAATACATCATAAAGATATTAAAATAGAAAATGACATCATAGTCATGGCTAAACATAGCAAAAAAACCTTAATCAGCATCATTTAACAGTAATATCTAAAAATGGAAATTACATCATAAAGGTATTAAAATAGAAAATGACATCATAGTCATGGCTAAAAATAAACAAAATCCTTAATCAGCATCAGCAACATTTTATAGTAATATCTAAAAATAAAATTCCTTTGTAACCATAAAAGCCCATTTAAATACATCATAACAGATATTAAAATAGAAAATGACATCATAGTCATGGCTAAACATAGCAAAAACCTTAATCAGCGTCATTTAACAGTAATATCTAAAAATAAAAATTTCTTTGCAACCATAAAAGTAAAATAGAAAATGACATCATAATCATAGCTAATAAAATGCTTCGCTGGGCGCAGCTTGATACGACCGCAGAGGTCGAACCCTGAACAGTTGGGGCAAGTATGGACACAACATTCAAGCTTGATACTGCTCTGAATTTGGATTGTGATTAAATATTTGACACAGCATAGGTTTCTGACACAGAAAGAATGTGGTCTAGAAACTTCAATTTTTTTAATTTACCTATTATGGTCCAATGTCCAAAATCAAAATACATGGTTAGATTCAGCATATCAAAGAACCCCATATATTCAATTTTTGTTGAAATCAAACAAAGTTTAATTTTGGACCCCAACTTGGACAAACTTGAAAACTGGTCCCATAATCAAAAATCTAAACACATGTTTAGATTCAGCATATCAAAGTACCCCAAGAATTCAATTTTTGTTAAAATCAAACTAAGTTTAATTTTGGACCCTTTGGACCTTAATGTAGACCAATTTCAAAAACGGGACCCAAAATTAACAATCTAAAAACACGGTTAGATTTGGCATATCAAAGAACCCCAATAATTCAATCTTTGATGAAATCAAACAAAGTTTAATTTTGGACCCTTTTGACCACAATATGAACCAATTTGATAGCGGGCCTACAAAATAAAAAATCTAAATACATGGTAAGATTCAGCATATCAAAGAACCCCATATATTCAATTTTTGTTGAAATCAAACAAAGTTTAATTTTGGACCCCAATTTGGACCAACTTGAAAACTGGGCCAAATATCTAAAATCTAAATACATGTTTAGATTCAGCATATCAAAGAACCCCATATATTCAATTTTTGTTGAAATCAAACAAAGTTTAATTTTGGACCCCAACTTGGAACAACTTGAAAACTGGTCCCATAATCAAAAATCTAAACACATGTTTAGATTCAGCATATCAAAGAACCCCAAAAATTCAATTTTTGTTAAAATCAAACTAAGTTTAATTTTGGACCCTTTGGACCTTAATGTAGACCAATTTAAAAAACGGGACCCAAAATTAAAAATCTAAATACACGGTTAGATTTGGCATATCAAAGAACCCCAATAATTAAATTTTTGATGAAATCAAACAAAGTTTAATTTTGGACCCTTTTGACCTCAATATGAACCAATTTGATAGCGGGCCCACAAATAAAAAATCTAAATACATGGTAAGATTCAGCATATCAAAGAACCCCATATATTCAATTTTTGTTGAAATCAAACAAAGTTTAATTTTGGACCCCAATTTGGACCAACTTGAAAACTGGGCCAAAAATCTAAAATCTAAATACATGTTTAGATTCAGCATATCAAAGAACCCCATATATTCAATTTTTGTTGAAATCAAACAAAGTTTAATTTTGGACCCCAACTTGGA